TTACTAGCGAGCAATGGGAAACTAGTACACAGCTTCTGAAATACCTGAGGGACAATTTACGGTTATGTAATACCATACTCATCAAAAGTTCTCCCCAGTTTTGATATGAGTGCATGACTCTTGCCTGATCCCGTCTTCATGATAGGTAAAAAATGCTAACTTCACCAACTCGACCATGAATGAAGCAGTCAGAACCACTTAGTGAGAACCAAGGGTACCACCAAAACAATTAACCATCCCATCCCTGTTTTAAAATGTAAACACGTAAAAGTTTTAGAACAAGGTCCAGAACAATGTAGCTGAATAGGTAGACAGGTAATAGGTGAACCAGTGGACAGTGGTAGCATTCTCACTTTCCATGCAGGAGACCAGGGTTCAATTCCAAGCCACTACACCTATGTGCAGCAATCCGTGGAGGCTTATAGTTAGAATGATGCCCAATAGCTTATGGCAGAGCTTCCAGCCTAAGAGGGATTAGGGAGAAAGACCTGGCAGTCTACAGTGGTAGATGAGCCAAGGAACACCTGGGGAGAGATTGGACAGCATTTAGTTCTGTTGAGCACCAGAGGGCCACTCCAGGCGGCTAACAGCAGGAGGTGAACCAGCAATGATGTTAAAGAACATCATTGGCTCAAAAACCAATGTCTAAAGACCCTTCCCTGGACAGTGTTTCCTATGTTGGGCTTCCCATCTCTGGGAAATGGAGTGGGAACCTCTGAATCTTGGATGTCTTCTGTAAAATGGAGCCCTGGTGGCATTCTTGGGTAAGTGCTGGAAGGCTAGCCTCAAGGTCAGCAATTCCAGCTGCTCTTAAGGAGATAGCTATTCGCTCGCTCCTAGAGATTTGCAAAGCTGAGGGTACTCTAGAGAAGGTCCCTATGAGTCAGAATTGACTCGATGGCATTGAACTTGTTAAAATACACCCAACTTGCTTGTTACTGTGTCGTCGAGTCAGAAACCCTCTGGATGACAGAATATAGCACTGCCAGGCCCTTCAGTATTCCCCTAATCATTGCTGTTGGAGTCACTGTCACTCCATCTCATTGAGGGGTTTCCTCTTTTGCACTGACCTTCCAGGGACTGCTCCCTCCAGACCATATACCCAAAGTACATGAGATCAAGTCTTTATCATCCTCACTCCTAAGGAACATTCTGGCAACACTCCTTCCAGGACAATTTTGTTTCTTCTGGCTGTCCATCAATGGCATCATGCAAAGATATCAATTCTTTTGGCCATCTTTATTCACTGTCCAACTTTCACATGCATATATAGGTGATGACCAAAAATACTGTGGCTTGGGTCAGATGCATTTTAGCCTTCAAAGTGACATCTTTGCTTCTAAGAGATCTTTTTGAAAATATGTATTTTAACAGTTTCATGGGAGCATAGTTTACATATCAAAGAGATCCTTCCTTTCAAGGAGATTTGCTCAGTGCAATACACTTCAATTTCTTGACTGCTGCTTCCATGGGGCTTGATTGTGGACCCAAGTAAAATGGAATCCTTTACCAAGTCCATGTATTACTTCTTTGTCCAAGGGTGAGGATTTGTGTCTTCTGTTGAGGCATCATCTATACTGCTCTTCATCAGTATGTGCTTCAAGTATTTACGTCCAATAAGCATGGTGGGGTCATCTGCACATTTCAGGTGGTTACTGAATCTTCCTCCAGTCCTGAAGCCATGTTCTTCAGAGTCCAACTTCTTGAATTATTTGCTCAGCACACAGATTTTATAGGTATGCTTACCCTGCTTCTTTTACTGAGAGCCCAAATTCATTTATTCTATTACGTGCCTGTGCAGAATTGCACAGACAGGGGCCTGTTCCCTGATGCTTCATCATAAAGGAACAGCTCACTGAAATGATCACCATATGGCTGTTCGGTGAACGGGAAGGCTGTCTGCATTAATGGGCGAGGCAGGGCATCTCTGGGACCCCCAGACACAGGAGATAAGTACACCTGTCCAGTCACATTTATCATCTGACTTCCACGGGAAAACACATCCAAGAGTATTCAAATAGCTTTCCAAAAGCACTGGGCTATTTCTTGCCCATGTCCCATTTCTCATTTTTGAAATAATGAGTAAAGCATAAATCAGTGGAATGACTGCACCAGGTAATTGAGATTTTAAATGGTTCTGGCCGGGGAGAACTGAGCTGCCAGTATTGATTTGAGGTTCTGACAGAAGAGTAAAGGGAACCGCCTCCCTTACCCCACCACCCAAATGCAATGCAACAATTGAAGCAGACGCCATAGGGCAGGGGTTCTGAGCCTGGGGTCTATGGACAGAATTCTGTGCATCCGGCACATTGGGACAGAACAGCATCTTTGCTTTTCCTAACCTTGACTGAAATTTCCCATTTCAGACGAAAGGCAGACTGCAAACCATGTTAGGACCAGCAATGCCTATGACTGTCACACGGAGGGATCGGCATGCTAGCGTCACTCCAGTTGTTGTGCATCTTTTATTTACGCGCATGACTTCTTCAACATCCTGGTATTCAACCCACCACTAGATCTAGCTATGCCACAAGTTCATAAAGCAGCACAAATACTGAATCATAAAAATAGGAAAACCAACTAATTTCCTTTCAATCCTATCAATTTTGAACAGCAATGTAAAAGGCTGTTTGGTACAAAGCTACTCGGGTCAGGGTGACAGAGGGAGGTTATGGGTTTCTTCAAGGTCACATAGCAACTCATCTTATGAATCTTTAATCATGCTGCCAACTGACCTCTACATCTGTAGTACTCCATGTGCTGTTCCATGACATGATCAGATCGACAAGCCATCTGACATGAGTTCCAGTGCATTCCTTCACTTTCAACGGTTGCTCTGTGGCCACACCATGGTAACACTCTGGCAGTTTGCTCTTGCTCTGGATCCTCCATCTAGCTTGTCTATCAGACCTCTGGTTCTTGGAACTTGAGCCAGCAGCCTGTCCCCTGATCTGATTTGCCATCCTCTGCAGCCATGAGAGTTGACAGGCCTGTTGATTTGGTCTGACCTGCTGATTTGGGCTTGTCGGCCTCTGAAACCGGGGGAATGAACAGAATCCACCAGACTCCTGGTGTGATCTCCGGGTTTGGAAATTGCCAGCTTTCACAACTCTGTGAGCCATTTCCTGGAAGGTTTGTGAGTTCTGTACACTGTTATAGTAAACTACAGCATCCTAGGGCCCGAGGTCAGCAGTTAGAAACCACCACCTGCTTCTCCTGAGAAAGATGAGACTTTCTACTCCCATGAAGAGTATATCTTATAAACCCAGAGGCAGTTCTACCCAGTACTATAGGGCTGCCATGCTTCAGATCAACTCCATGGCAGTGAGTTTGGCTTCTTGGTTTTAAGACATGAGGGGAAAGAGTTGGTACCAGAGATGATGGAATGGTACAGCACTTTGGACAAGTTAGAGATTTGGACCATCTTTAACACCACCTCCTAAGGATTCGCCTTGTACTGATCCTTCCAAAAGATATTCATACAGAGCGATAAAAGGGGCCCCAACTCAGAGCAGTGTTAACCCAGAGCATTGTTCTAACAGCAGCAGCACCATTATTTACAATCTTAGGTACCAGAGAGTTCTTCTACAGTACTCTAGAAGCGTTCCTAGGAGCGGGGAAGGTTCACGATGTATCCCAGGGCAGTGCCCCAATTCTATTAACACAGGGCAGTGCTCTAATATCAACTGTACCATTATTTGCAAACTTATGTATTTAGTTCAAACCTGATTCCTTGTCACCTTTGTTATTTCTTCTTGCCAATACCAAAGGGGCGGGGAGTGAGAAAAGTATGGGGGAGCAAAAGTACACACCCCATTTTTGAAAAAAAGGTTGTGTTACCTACCATGAACCTACCTCTGGAGAATGTTCTGTGCCGACACTATTTCCTCAAAATGGTCACTGTGTCTGTCACTCTTAATGTTTTCCAGAAAAATCACCATACAAGAGCTCATTCCACTGACAGTATAAACCTTTTATGAGAGCAACAGAATAACCTAGTGACCTCTAACAACCCAAGTCAATTTAACCTTCTTTGATGTGGATTATGAATTATGACCCCAAAATAAGATGAAGGTGCTTCCCAGCAGCTATCCAATATGAAGTATATTTCTACATCTAATATACCGTTTCCCCGAAAGTAAGACATACCCAAAAAATAAGACCTACTTACAGTTTTGCCTCTTGCTGAAATATAAGGCACTCCCCCCGAAAATAAGGGTTTGGATTGTTATGATGTTTCAGAAGATGATGACATGACTGTCATTGAATAAATGAGTAAATAAATGTACCATTGATTGTTGTGCATGGAAATTATGGTAGTAATAAGAAATCCTTGATAATGTAGGAATCAGTTTGTCTGCTTATGCTGGTTTGTGATGACAACTACTACTATACTGTATACAGGACATAAATTTCCCCTTTTTTGTTCAACAATAAATGTGCACCATATTCTTCTTCATGGAAAAATAAGATATCCCCTGAAAATAAGACCTAGCACATCTTTGGGAGCAAAACTCAATATAAGACACTGTCTTATTTTCGGGGAAACAGGGTAGCAGGAAGAGTAGAAGTAGATATAAACTTCTAGCATTCAACGTTAGAGGGAGGCAAATTCTTTCACTATCCTTGGGTCAATTTCCTAATGAAGAACTGGCAGATGTAATGGATAGCTATCATTATAACGCTGGCTACTGTAATGACCATGGTTGTAAAGGAAGTCATTACGACAGTTCAAAACAGGTTTAGACAATGATGGTGGCAACCTATGTACAAATATGCTTGATACAATTGCTGTATGGAATGTTATAAGAGCTCTAAGATCTCCCAATAAAATAATTTTTAAAAACCACAGGTCCCAAGACCATTCTATGAGACACCATTTCTAGCAAGACATTGGTATTGGTATCAAGAGAACAGAAGAGAGACCAGAGACATGTGTTCTTCGAGAGCAAAAGCGAGAAATGGGAGGCTGGGCCAAAATAAAAACAGGACGCATGACATTTTTCTTTTGTAACTTTAATGGGAGCAATGCTATTCATTTCCTTTAACTCTCTTTTATAAGCACCAAATCTTAATAGGTCAATTTTTGGAAAAGAACCTCCCTCAGGAACAAAATAATGATGCTCATTCCTCCAAACATTCAAATTGAAGGTCTACCAAAATCAAAATCAAACAGGGGAGGAGGGGGGAAATAAACAAAAATCACATTCTAGGGGTTCAGTGCATGTAGCAGCCTTGACTGCTGCTAGATCGTCCTTAAGCTGACTTAGAAAAAAAAAGATCACCCTAGCGCATCAAAATATACATTTTCCATTTGCTTTTTTAAATTAAAGATAATAATAATTAAAAAAAAACACACCAGGAATTCACAATCAATTGCCCAACTTATTCGGAGGCCATCAAACGCGTGGCGGTCACACATGATGGGAGACGTTCATCTTCACGGCTTAGTCGTCTTCCACACAGTGTAAAACACCCACCTGGAATGGGAGTCAAGGAAGAACCCCGAGAATCGAACACTTGCATTCTCAAATGAGAAGCTGAGCAATAGACAGCAACCTTCATGATCGACAACAGTAGACGCATGAGAATGAAGGCTTTAGAAACAGAGCCACTTTGGCAGCCTAAGGATGCCCACTTCCGCCCCTGATGTGGGAATGGAGGCTGGAAGCTCGAAAGGCCAAAGGAATGCAGGCGTTGTATCAGGTAACACGACTGCTTCCAGCATCTCTGAAGAATTTTCGGGAGTGATACAAGATGCAGAGGGGAGTGGCGTGGGTTGTGGGGGAACGTAGGGGAGAGATCGGCGTGGACAGAAAGAAGCACAGAGTGAGATGAAAGGGGAAAAGGGGGTTGTTAGGGAAGAGGCTTTTCTCCCAAAGTTACCAAGATGGAATTAAAAGATGGAATTTTCCCAGGAATGTCTCTGAAGTCTCCTTGTACAAGCGTAGGCCTGATTAGGGAAAAAACGCTCTGAGAGGAAGCATGGGGGAGGTAGTTGGTTGGCTGTGGGGGAGCGGGGGACAAAGAACAGAGAAACCCACAAAACAGATCAGGAAGTTCTTGTCTGCAAACAATCCCCATTTGGGAAGAAAACAACACTATAAAGTTTCCATGAGAAACACTCTCCCGTTCCCCTTGGGTCCCTTTCTGGTTTCTCCAGACTAGTTTTACAAAGGGGAGCAGATGGGGACCACCAAGGTGAGCCTCGTGGAGTCCCAGCATGGTTTTTCAGCTTGTGGATTCACATCGAGTGAGGTGTACAAATACTGATTCTAATAGGGTCGTGTTATTCCTGCAGCAGGAGAACGAGTGGCTCCGCCTGCTACATGGTAGGTGGTATTTTAGGCTAAATACAACAACAACAAAACAGAAACAAAACCAACTGTGATGCACTCCATCCTGAGCCATGGAGACTCTGTGTGCCTGGGGGGAGAGGGCAAAGCCCCACAGAAGCCCTTCTACTGTGGACCACCCGTGTGCCCACCTGGAGTTTCAGGCCAGGTTTTCCCCATGCTGCCCAGTGCACGGACTTCCTCTGGAGAGCGTCTTGAACCCCAGTTTTGCTGGGCCTCACTCACACCACCCTCAAGTGTTTGATGCGGCAGCTCAGCTCGGCTGCGACGACGGGGGCAGATTTCTCAGTGCTCGCAAGCCAGTCTGGAGACCCACTGTGAGAACCACCGCTTTACACCTGCGGTGGTCTGTCATCACAAGCACCTGGGAGTCGTCATAACTCCAAATGGGAGGCGACACTCCAGAACCAGAGGGTGGGACCCAGGAGTCAACTCTTCAAAGGCCCTGGGGGATTACAGAGTACCACCCAGTTTTTACAGATGACGTTGCTTCATTCAGAAAGTTCCGAGGCAAACTCCATTATCTTTGAAGGCGACCTACCCACCCCCTCGTACGCTAGCGTTAATTCTATTGATTACTGGAATTTTAAATGTTACACTAGGTGAGGATTTCCTCAAAGGATACAATTCCAAGTAGGAAGGGACACAGACGATCTCCTTGGAGAATTCCACAGGACAATAGAGGCGCCCGAGCTGTTCTTCATAGAGCGACAGGGCTTCCGTCAAATTGACACAGTTCCCCTAAATCAAAGAGACAGAGAACCAAATGATGGAATCCTTCAGTTCAGCTGGGTGGCACACTCATGTGAAGGTCTTTTAATGAAGGAGAACAATTCTAGCAGTGCATAAAGTTCAGCTTTGAAAATGAGATAAGGCTTCTAATACTTCCAACAATTACATCCAATTCCATTTATAGCCCCATTAGCTCATTACCCTCTACCTCATTACCAAGCCATTTCACATTATCATAACATGAAGCAATAGCAAGCCGTCAGACCAATGTCTCATTAGTGACACTAGCACTGTTTGCACCACCAAACAATGACCCTAAGATCTAAACACAGCACCCACTCCAAATACATCTGCCCCACAAGGGCCACGGTCGTGGTGTAGAGATTGGGATGTTGGCAAGATCATGTTCTTGATTTCCAGCATGGCTTCAACGACAACCTATTCATATCCCCTCGCTTTCCCCCAAATCGGTGATTATTTTCAAGGCACCAGAAAGAAAAAACCCACACGTTTCTTCAGGACCCACCACCCCTAGTTCCAACTCCTTTATCCAAAATGTCCTCTTGACTTCATTGTTCTCACTTGTCCGTAAGCTTGACATTTTTCTTAAGTTACACAAACAGAAAACACTCGCCATACAAAATGTTGTCTCTCAACGAATCTTATCAAATATTCTGGGCCCCACTCCCAACCCCCTCAGGTCTTCCAATTGGTTCATTCTGGTTTGACCCTTACTGGCAATTTTCATTTCCAACCTGAGTCAATACTGAATCAGACTCTACATTTTAACCATCTATCCATGTCCCTAAGAATCTCCTTCTGAGAATGTAGATTCTGATTCAGTACATCTGGGGTGGTTTTTCCCTCCGTATGATAACTGCTACTCCATCAAACGAGAAAGGAAAGGTTACTCTACTCATCCTTTAAGGAAAAGAAAAAGTATCCCAATCATGTTTGCACCTTTTCCCCTGTATTTCACCAAGTAAACACTCAGCACAACAACAAAACACTTGGATGTGTCCCAAAGAATGCTGGTTCAAGGTTTGCAAGAGAAAGTGTTTACTAGTTAAACTAGTCCCAGGCCCCAGGTCTCCCTTTCTTGCCACCACTTGGGTGAGACACTTGGAATGAGCCGGGGACTACTGCAAAAGCTTTTGATCTGGACAACCATGGATAGGCCGTGCCCCTGCCTCCTTCAGTGTCCTTCTGGTTGTGAACATGGATGTGACCCTGGCCGCTGGAGCAGCCGTTCTGTGACCAAGAGGAAATGGCAAAGAATACCAGAAATGCTGGGCAGAGTAGAGTGGGGATGGGTGCAATCCTCTACCTTCGATCGGCCTGGCTCTACAGCAGTGCTTCTGCAATGTTAATGTGGCGAGAATGAGAATTGTGATTTAGCAGGTCTAGGGTCAAGTGTATCGTCATCTTAGCACAATTTGTCCCATACGGGTTCTCGCAACTAATGTCGAAAACAAGATGAGCATTTAATACCACAATTTCATTTTAGCATCTGCAGTTCTTCCTGTTGGAATAAAGAACCTCCTTGCCAGCGCGTCCACTGCAACTCACAGCACCACTAGAGGGCAGAGCGGAGTAAAACTGTCCCCTGGGGTTCCCAAGGCTGTAATCTTGATAGAAGCCCACTGCTACATCTTTCGCCTGTGGAAGAGCTCGGGGATTCAAACAGATGGCCTTTGGGTTCACAGAGCTGAGTACTTAACCTCTGGCACCACCAGGGCTTGTTAAAGTCAGGGAGACTACTTAACTTAGCATGTGAGGGAGCTTCGAAGAGTTCATGGACAAAGAGAATGAAAAGATAATCGAATTTTTCCAAACGTTCTCAGGCTCCTTTGTACATGTTGTAGAAGTTCCCTTAAGGATTTACAGTCTGAGGAGGGTTTCTCTGAAACAGAATCAGCTCAAAAGCAGTGGGCTGGGTTTGGGTCGGTTTTATATAGGTAAATTCTTAAAGTCTTAAGAACTTTACTATTGATGTAAGGAGCCCTGGTGGCATAGTGGTTATGAGTTGGGCTGCGAACTGCAACGTAAGCAGTTTGAAACTGCCAGCTGCTTCTCAGGAGAAAGGTAGGGCTTTTGAGTCCTATAAAGTAGGGGTCCTCAAACTGGGCCCCGCCGAGGACATTTATCCAGCCCGCCGGGTGTTTTTGCCCCATTTGGTTTTTTACTTCAAAATAAGGTATGTGCAGTGTGCATCAGAATTTGTTCATAGTTTTTTTAAACTATAGTCCAGCCCTCCAACGAGTCTGAAGGACAGTGAAGTAACTGGTCCCCTATTTACAAAGTTTGAGGACCCCTGCTGTACAGAGTCTCTGAAACTCACAGGGGCGGCTCTGCTCTGGCCAACAAGTTGAAATGGACCCATGGCACCGAGTGTGGCTGGGTTTACTGAAGAGCCACAAGCAATGTCAGATGAAGATAACTTACAAATTAAGACAACCAACCCGCCACGAGCAAGAAGAAATAAAAAAGTATTCCATGTTTGGCCTCAGTGGTTTTAACGTAGTGCATTCACTCAGCATGACCTCGTCCTTCGGTCCAGCCTGCCGTGTAACCCCTCATCGAGAGACCTGCAGTGGGATATGACCGAGGTGCCCTTCGCCAGCATATAATTTGGTTTTCAACATCCAGTTCACCACGAGAGCATATAAACACCGCATGTGCAATTTAAGATTCACAAATAGAAAATACTGCCTGGTTGTTTTTAGAGCACACGACCACTGGGGCAGCTATAGAGGGGAAATGCCGCCCAGGTGCACGGTGAACTGGCTTTCTGGCCATTTTGCAATTGACACCACACTCTTTATAGAGGGCCTCAGGAAGGACCTGGTGGCAGAGAATGTGGGAAGGAAATAGGGACATTTCAAGCTGTCCTTTTCCAAGATGGTCAAAAAGCAGTTTTAAAAAGAAACTCACCACAAATAGATACCTATCGCCCACCCCACCCCCTCAAAAAAGGGCCATGTGAGCCATTTCACTTTCCTTGTGTAGTTTAAATGGAGCCATTTCACTTTCCTTGTGTAGTTTAAATGGAACTAACAGCATGCATCATTTCCTGAAGGCACGTGGGAGAAACAGAACCAAAATCGACTCGCCAAGAATACAGTCTTGGGGGGAGCGGGGAGGGAGGGGAAAAATGAGGACCTAATGTCGGGGGG